CCCCCCCCCCCCCCGTATACTTAGCTAAAGGTCTGGTTCCCCTACGATATAGGAGCTTAGGCCATAACCCGTTTGTTTTCCTGCTATTCCTCCAGGGTACAGTGATGTGTGAAATGATGGCGTCAATACGACCCCCTCCCTGAAGAGGGAGGGATCCCGGTACAACCTCCCCCCTCACCTGAAAGGGGTTCCGGTACGACCCCCCTTTCTTCCCCAGTACCTACCTACGATTTTCCCAGACGTCCCACCGTCGTCGGCAAGGGAGGGGGAAGGGGTACAGGTCGTCAGGAACCAACCTATTTTCAACTATCGGAAATGGTAGTTGTATAGAACTTCGGCGACGCCACCGACTAGAGGGAGGGAAGGTTGGAAAAAAATTTTTCCCAGCGCGGCTAATTTCTCTCATCACATACGACCCCCCTCCCTCTCCCAACAACGACCAAATACGAGCCCCCCTCCCAGCGGCCAAAACGACTCCCCATGTGTTTCACACAACGATGCTGTACCTTTGTTTACCTTACCTGAATGCCCTTCAAGGTGCTCCTGTCCGCCTACCACGGATAACATAGGAAATTGCTGCATAGGAAAGGGACTTCTGAATCTGGGAGTACAAATCTGGAAAAAGACGAGCAAAGTGACCCGAAGGATGTGCTCGCGGAACGCACAGGAAAATCCAAATCGCGGCCTATAGTAGAAGATGTGAATCGGTATAATCGCTTTGAACCGCAATAAAAAATACACATGTAATGGCTGGATTCGGGATGCGTTCCTGCCAAAAAATTCATGATCTTAATCTGATTACTAGACAAACATGTCGTCATACATTGTCTAATGGAGAACCGAGGCGAAGCTGTCGATGACCTTCTACTCCTTCTCGTTGGACGGTGCCAATGATTTATAGGGTCTGCTTGGTACAGATGGTTCGACAAGGTACTACTGACGACACCCTGCAGTACCTGTAGATTCCATGTCATTCTGGCCGAGTGGTCTAAGGCGCTGCGTTCAGGTCGCAGTCCTCTTCGGAGGGCGCAGGTTCGAATCCTGCGGATGACAGAAGCTTTTGTGGAATGACAATGATTTATAGGGTCCACGCGATGTCTTGGTACAAAGAGATGGTTACGACAAGGTACTCTGACTGTAACAGGCACCCTGGCTATACCCTGTAGATTACCATGTCATTATGGCCGGATGGTTCTATGAAGGCGACTCGGCGTTCAAAGGTCGCACGTCTCTCATTCGGAGGTCGCAGTTCGAATCCTGCGGATGACTAGACAGCTTTTGTGGGAATGACAATTGATTTAATGAGAGTCCCTAATGCTTGGTACAGATGGTTCGACAAGGTACTACTGACGACACCCTGCAGTACCTGTAGATTCCATGTCATTCTGGCCGAGTGGTCTAAGGCGCTGCGTTCAGGTCGCAGTCCTCTTCGGAGGGCGCAGGTTCGAATCCTGCGGATGACAGAAGCTTTTGTGGAATGACAATGATTTATAGGGTCCCTTGATATGCTTGGTAGGCAGATGTTTGCCGACAGGTACTGCTGACGACACCCTGCCAGTACGGGTAGATTGCCATGTCCATTACTGGCCGATGGTCATAAGTGCGTCTGCGTAGTCAGGTGTCGACAGTGCCTCGATTCGGAGGCGGCAGCTAGGTTTGAGAATCCTGCGACTTGAACAGAAGCGCTTTGCGGAATGACAATGATTTATAGGGTCCCTTGATGCTTGGTAGACAGATGGTTCGACAAGGTACTACTGACGACACCCTGCAGTACCTGTAGATTCCATGTCATTCTGGCCGAGTGGTCTAAGGCGCTGCGTTCAGGTCGCAGTCCTCTTCGGAGGGCGCAGGTTCGAATCCTGCGGATGACAGAAGCTTTTGTGGAATGACAATGATTTATAGGGGTCCCTTGATGCTTGGTACAGATGGTTCGACAAGGTACTAACATGCGACGATCAACCCTGCAGTACCTGTAGATTCCATGTCATTCTGGCCGAGTGGTCTAAGGCGCTGCGTTCAGGTCGCAGTCCTCTTCGGAGGGCGCAGGTTCGAATCCTGCGGATATCGACTAGAACTTGTTGTGAATCGATCAATGTGATTTAAGGGTCTCCTTAACTGCTTGGGACACGATGGTTACGACAAGGTACATGGCTGACGACACCGCTGCAGTGAC